CAACAAAGAACAAATATATCTACAGGTATAATGATGTAGCAATTTAGTATGTTCTGGTCAGTCGCCTGATACGAGACAATCATATTCGATCTTAGGTTCATTTGGTATTAGACAATTGCTATTTTCGCAATCAAATGGAAATCTATTCAATTGCGCCTGCAAATTAAATACTCATTTAAATTGCTATTTTTTATTTTATTTTAGGTGCTTCAAGAAGCCCTTACGGTTTTATTACAAGCAACAAATGAGAAGGTCGAAATTTATAAAAAAAGCCAAAAACACGAAAACACTAGAAGAAAATTATTAAACTCAGAAGAACAACCTAATCTTTTTTTGAAATTAAAAAAAAATCTAAAACTGTACAAGTTTTGAATTTTTCTGTGCTTGGATCTGTTTCTTCATATTGCGGCGCGCGATATTATATTGCTTTTTGAAAATGGTGATAAGGAATATTTATTCTTCTCTCCACAAACAAACTTTCTTGACATTATAAATAGCTTCAGCAAATGGAATTAACACTGACTAATAGTTTTGGAGAAACGCTTTAGAAAGTTAATTCACACTTTATAACAAAAGAAATATCATTCATGAAAAGAATTCTTCTATAAAAATACGTTTTTCCTTTCTTAAAATGAAAAAAAGATTTTTTTTTGGGGGGTAGGGGTCCTTATAAGCTCCAGGGGGTCAGGAAAATAATAAAAATTCAATAGGCATTTCTTCCTCCCTCCTCCCCCTCCCCCTCCCCTCATTTATTTGGCAGGTGAGAGTAAGGTTTGAACCACTGATACTTTGTTTCTGAGGCAAGTGCTCTACTACTATGCTACATGGCTATTTCTCTGTTGTAAATATATAAAATGTGTGAGAAAAATTAGTAAATATTCCTTAAACTCATAAATAAGTTACTAATTAAAAAGTAACTTAGTACTAAAAGTTTCTTGAAATTTTGGGGCTTCTAGTACTAGTTTTTTATAAACTGGTTTCTAATTTAAAAAAAAATGTGTTTATACGTCTTATAAAATGAAAACATAAAGTTAAAACGTTAGTTTAAGCTAAACAATAATAAGGTTGTTTAAACTAAATTATAAAGAATCGTTTAACATAGATTGCAGCCTATGGGCAGTACAAGTTGTTGCCCATAGGCTGCAATCTATGTTAGCTCTTGCCTTAACCACCAATTAGTTTATATACTTAATGGTTGTTGATAAAATGTACACTCAACAAAATACATTGTACAACTAACATAAATAGTATAAAATTTATAACAACCAAATGTTATCAATATGAACAACCTGTGACTTTTCTGTCAGTAAACAATACATAAACAATGACAAATTTAAAATCTACATAATTATAAAATCAATAGTTTAACATTTGTTAACTAATAAGGTTTGTTTACATTAGTTTAACACTACTTTCGATCCTTTCAAGATTGCTGTTAAAATTTATATTACTAGCAGGCATATGTGCTTAGCACATCTTTATATTACAAAATATAATAACTTATTTTCTGGCCTATAATAGGCTATAACCTATTATAGGCCTGAAAAAAGATTATCATTTTTTTAGATACATTTCAATTTACCATTGATTATAATAATCAACTGAAAATAAAATGTAGTCTAACTGAAAATCTGATATTTATGGCAACCGGCCCACCAGGAATCTCCCGGTATCCCGGCGGCCCAGTCAGAGCCTGGTAAAGCCTCCAATATTTTCCCGGTTATCCTGCGGGCAACTTAAATATTGTATTAATTGAGTTGTATTGATTTATATTGTCTTAATTGGGATGTCTGCTATGGTAATCATTAGTCCTGTATTTTAAATTTTTGGGGTATTTTTTCTTGGGTGAAAAAACTGAAGAAAAAAAGTAAAATGACATTATAGCATGACAAAATAGCATGGACCAAAAAAGTTTTATTTTATTTTTTGTAAAAAGATTTTATATTATTCTTGCTCAAGATTTTATATTATTTCTTGCTTTTAAGTAATTTACTAAGATTTTTTTATATATAAAAAATTTTTATGTGCATTATTATTTTTTATTTTGCAACAACAGCGTTTTAAAAATCAGTATAGTTGCACTTTAAAACATTTTAAATTGTGTGCAAGTCTTATTTATTTCAAGTTGGCTTCTTTTTATTAGGTTTAATTAAATTTTATAATGCACCATAGTGCATTAATTTTCAATGTAGCGTATAATTTACATACTTATTTTAATACTTTTTTAAAGGGTTTTTTTTCAACAAAGAATAAAATCTTCATAGCTCTAAATATGGTTTTATTAATAAACATTTTTTTAAGTAACAAACTATCTGGTCATCCTGCCAGGCTAACAACAAGCATTTTTTCAAAATTTAGTTGTCCTTTGAGAAAAGTTGTTCTGTGCTGCCGGATGACCATGAGGTTTCACCACTGACCTTGGCCCACTTGGCTTGGAATACAATTAATGAACTTGTTGCAAGTTCATCAATTAATTTAAAAGTTAATAGAAACTTTATATACTTAATGCTGTGCACATTTGTACGAAGATACAAAGATATTGTATCTTTGTACAAATGTACACAGCAGCAAGACATGAAATTATAAGTTTAAATCGATTTCTTGTAGTTTTAATTTAATTCAATCAATTAAAACTTGCTCTATTGAAGCTTGCCAATCTCCCTCATTTTTGGCACATTTAGGGGGTTGGATTCTTTATCAGCGTAATAGACATATTAGTCCATCCAATTTAGAGAATCTCAAGAGTTATGAGAACTTGCTAAATTGGGCCATAATAAATAGTTAAAGTCTCCATGATTCATAGTTAAAGTCTCCAAATTTTAACTATGAATCATGGAGACTTTAACTATTTATACACAAACAAATAAATAGTTAAAGTCTCCAAACATTCATCAAAATAGATGGATACATTAATTGCTACAGCTTTGGAAATGCGAAACAATGTCTCAGGCATGCCATGATCAGATATAGCTAATCACAATTTTTTTGGAAATTTCTTTGGAAATTTTACTATAAAACGAGCACTTTTTAAGCATGTTTTTTGTTGATGGTGTAGTATCAGGCATGGACAGAAATGGTGTTCCATCAAGCGCTATCGCTGACCACGCAAATGATTTCTTTTTGTTACATTTTCAATTGTATTTAAAATAAGTTACTTGAAAACTTACCTTTTGAAACGATTTATTAAATTTACACAAAATGCTTTTACAAATAAAAAGTGTTATATATATTATTTTTAGATTACAATCTAAAAATAATATATATAACACTTTTTATTTGTAAAATTGCTTTTTATTTGTAAAAATTGCTTTACTTAAATAGATTACGGTATTTCAAAAATAAAAATAAAAATTTTCCAAATTTTTTGAAAAAAATAAATGTTTATACTTGTGTAAACATTTATTTTTTTATACCGTAATCTATTTAAGTAAAGCAATTTTTTTTTTTTTTGCATTTATTTTAATTTTTATATATATTTTTTTGTATTTAATTACAATTTATTTACCGTAATCTATTTAAGTAAAGCAATTTTTAATCAATTCATGCTCTGATTAGTTAGTCAAGTTAAAAAAAAGTTTTAAACAATTCTTTGTAAAAATAAAAACAAAAAAATAAAGCCATTAAATCATTCCATTGCAACCAAAGTTTTAATTTAACTTATTCATAATTTTAAGTATTTAAAAAAATTATTCTTCAAAAGAATTTTAGAAAGGGATCATCCATAAACTATGCAACGCTAAGTTTTACCAATAGATAAAAATATCAGCCCATTTAATTTAATTAAAATTGCCTCATAAAAGAGCTAAAGATCTTTTTCTCTTTTTTTTACAAATAAATTTAGTGCTGTGTAATTTATAGACAATCCTAAAGACATAAAAAAAAAATAGTAATAAACAATCTATTATATTTAAATTTATCATAAAAAAAACATGCCTACATAAAAAAATAACATAATTTAAATATAGCATTATTTGTTAGTTTATGCAAAATACTTTTATTTTAAACAATCACTATAATTACATTATTCTAATTATAGCCTTTGCTTAAAAAATAAACTTTAGAAAAGATCAATGATTATAAGTTATTTATAACATAACAGTTTTTTTTATAGCATTTAAATTGTTAAAATATCATAACTGCCGGGGTCAAATTGTAAAGAAAGAAAAAATTATAAGCATAGTCAGTTACAGCGTGCATGCCATTCCTGTCCAAGACTGATATTCAGAATTCCTAAGCATGTTGTCCCCTGAAAAACAAAAGTATTTTTCGTCATCGATGACTAGAAGCGATTTTGTGTTATGGAGTTGTTTAACTAGTTTCTAGTGTTATGGAGTTGTTAAACTACTTCTTTGCTTTTAATTGTTGCTCTATCGTGTGTTTTAGAGTCTTTTCACATTTTCTATATTTAATATTCATTTTTTTTAACTGATGACCAATTGTTGATTGATTTACACCAAATTTGAAACCTATTTTTCTTCAACTGACCCTTTTTCGATTGTTTACAAGTCTTGTTAATTCAGTTTTTTTTCTCTAGTCTAGGATGTTGGACAATCTATCTATCAGAAAAGGATTGAACAATTTCAAGTCTTTTTAGGTTATCATATATTGTACTTTGAGCAAATCCTTTTTTTTCAAAATGATTTACATTTTTTTTTTACATATTAGGTTTATTTACAAAAACATTTTGAGTCACTTTTGAAAAGATTCTCGTTCAGCTGCATTTAACTTCATTTTAAATAAATGCTTCAAATAATTTAGTTTATATATTTTTAAATGTTTATGTCTACACATAAAACCACAAAACAAATTATTATACTCAAATAATTAATTAAGATTTATTCGATAACTTCCGCATCAGCCGTTTATATATATATATATATATATATATATATATATATATATATATATATATATATATATATATATATATATATATATATATATATATATATAATTTGTTTTCAGAATGACTTAAAACTCTAGTATTTGATATATTTCAGAGCCAGAGAAACCAAAAGAGCCAATAGAGCAACCAAAACCTTCAAAGGTTTTTTTTTTATTACTGTTTGTAGTTTTTTTCAAATGTAATTTAACTTCTATTCATAACATAAAAATTTTTTAGAGTTTCAAATCACAACCATTACCCCCTGGTTGGTTCAAAGTAGAAGACCCTGTAAGGTATTTTAGTTCTTTTTTTTTAAACCTAAAGTACTATGTTTCAGATAAGTATTATACTTTCGCTATGCACTTTATTAAAAAAAATTTTTTCAGAAGTTAAAATCATACAAATATTAGTTTTTAATTCCTCTAAACATGGCTAAAAATGTTTATTTCAAGGCAACTAATGTCCTGAAACATTTTTAACCACGCCATCCAATTGTTTTGCTATTTTTTCGCTAATTGCTATTATGTTTTTGTAAATTTTTATTTCAAAAAATATCTTATTGTATGCACAGAGAATCATAATCAACAAATCTTGTTATTATTTAGTATTTTTGCTGAATTTGATGAATTTTATTGGACAATTTAGAATTTAGGTGCCTGAAAAAGTTTTTAAGTGTACTGAAGTTTTTAATTTTGTTTAAGAATTCACATTGTTCTATAATTGTTTGTATATGTGTTTATGTATTATATATTTATATATTATTTATATAAGCTTTTTATATATTACATATTTATATATTATTAAGTATACGTGTTTGTATATAAGTTATTTGCATATTTCAATCTAATCTACAATCACAGAGATTTATTCAAAACTTGATCTGTAGTTATCTTATATATATTTTCAGGGTTTTTGGACTATGATAATTTTTTCATGTATTCATTTTAAGGTGATTTAATGTGCCATTTTTATCAAGGTCTCATGATTATTTTTGGAATGTGCATACAAATCAAGTATCATGGAGACATCCAAATGACCCTCGTGCTGAAATCACTTATCCAGCAGCATGGCAACAAAAAACAGGTTTGTTTTCAAATAATTTTTAACAAATATGTTTAATGTTAATTTCAGCAAAATTTAATTTGCATATTATTTTGTCAAGTTCAGGCCAAAAAGAAGGTAGGTACAATGGGTAATTTTCACCCAGGCGCAAAGGCTTCAAAGGCGCCAATTTTACAAATTTAGTAGACTAGTCGAATATTTGACACGTTAGTACAAAGTTTACCTTATTAGGCTAATTCATCCTAATTCAGCCTAATGAATTAAAAAAGATATTTGTTTGGTTGATGCTAATTTTTAGATATGGGAAAAACTGATAGTAGACGAACAAATGAAATTAAAGAAGATAGAAATAAGCTAAAAGTAAATACTGGAAAGCATCCAAGTTTATTAAAGGTAATTTTAATTTGTTTACATCTTTCAACAACTATCTATAGTATATTTTGTTTAGAAATCTATATAGAAAGCCATAGTAACCATAGTAATCTTGACTACACATAAGAACACGATAATAAAGTAATAGTTTCCAGGTTTCAAAACAATAATTTAAATAACTATTAAATATCTGTCAGCCCTCTCTATTTACCAGTCTCTATTTACCAATAGGTGTCTCTCTAGTTCTACTTTTTTTTTTTTTAATCTTATTGTTGTGCTGATGGAGTTTATTGGTAAGTGATCACTCTGAAACAATTTTCTGTTGTTTTTTATTCATAGATTTATATATTTAAATTTTTGTAGCAATCATTTTAGAGATTAATATATTTTAAATTTGGTTTGATTTTTATGCACCGATGCAGGCTGATGCATCGGCATTGGCATCAGTCTTGGTAACCATTGGCCAATGCCAATTGTTTTGAAAAATCAGTTTTTTTATTTTTGTATTTATATATTGTATGCAAAAATATAATTATTCCATAAACGAAAATGCGTGTATAAGCCAAAGTTATTATGTCGACATATCTGCAACTACTAAACCTATTTAAATACTTTTTGAACCATGTTTTATCAGGAGCTACCTGCATTTAGTGTCTTTTTATAATTTGAAAGCATTTGTATGACTTATGAATCCAAACTATACAAAAAGATAAGTTTAAAATCAAGACACGTAAATGTAATGTGAAATGTAAAAAAAAAAAATTCTGCTAGATTTCCTCTTTAATTTACAAATTTGAATGTTTTCATCTGTATTAAAATAGTCTGTTGACTCATAATTGCTCAGCTTATTAGACTCTTTGCTTTGATCATTGTTGATTTATTTCTTATTATTTATTTTTCTAATATATTTTTTTATATATTAGAAAAATAAATAATAAATTAATTAATTTTTTTATAATATATATATATATATATATATATATATATATATATATATATATATTTATATATATATATATATATATATATATATATATATATATATATATATATATATATATATATATATTTATATATATATATATATATAATATATATATATATATATATATATATATATATATATATATATATATTTATATATATGTATATATTAGGGTAGGTCGATTTTATATATTTTAATATATATATATATATATATATATATATATATATTTATATATATGTATATATTAGGGTAGGTCGATTTTATATATTTTAATATATATATATATATATATATTTATATATATATATATATATATATATTTATATATATGTATATATTAGGGTAGGTCGATTTTAGCTTTTTTTTTGAATTTTGAGTTGCGTAATGTTGCAGTAACTGTGTCTTGGTTAGAAATGAGGTTTTACCAAAAGTTTTGTTAGATTGTTTATTTCAAACGTTGCAAAATTTTATTCTAAGTCTAGTAATCTCGTTTTAAAATATCTCGTTTTGAGTATATAAAGTAACCAATAAACAAGCGCAATTGTTTTAAGAAGCCAATAAAGTTTCGCTAAATCGTTTACACGCATTTAAACTTAGCAAATCTATTTTATATTTATATTTCTTGTTTGTATTTTAAAGTTAGTTTTAAGGTTAAATTTATTAAAAAGTAGGTTCAAAAATAAAACTGCAGTTTAAAGAAATCTTTTAATATTAAAGGTAAATACTTATGGTTATTATATCTAGAGTAATGTTTTAAACTGTTTATATTACATAACTTTTGATTTGCAATTTCTGAAGTAGATTAAAATATAAAACTTTTCGATGGAACTAATGGTTTTACTCAATTCCTGAGTTTCCTGAATTCATGGCCCCCAAATCTTTTCAAAAGAGTTTTATTTCTTTATTTTTATCAAAGCAGGTTTTTAATAGTAAGTTTTAATATTTTAGGTTTTTTGATGCATAGGCCCCCACTAAAAACTCACGCTGCTGCCCATTACTCTAAGTGTAATACTTTAATACAGTTTACATATATAATTAATTTACAAAAATGCCGAAAGTAAAGGTTGCAATTACACGGATGAAAAGTGAAAAAAAATATTGTGGTGGCCCATGTGAACTATCAACGACAGATCCAAGCACTTTTAGACAGGTTATTCAGTATTATTACTATCTTATTCATATAAATCCAAATGCAGATATCTTATTAGTGACTCAGCAAATTAGCAATAATATAAAATCAATTTGGGCTACAGTAAACCCAAGATTACCTCTTATAACTGACAAATCTATTAATAGGAAAGTTAAAGATCTTCTCGTACTTGTTAAGGATATTAATCGCAAGCACGGAAAAGCAAGCGCTAAAAGAAATCTTGATGCAAACTTGGACAAACTTTTTGATATTTCTGCGTGTTCTTGTTCATTAGATGTGTTTCCCTGTAGTGACAGAAAAGTTTCATGTAATAAATAAAATTGCATCGAAGAACATATTGTATGCCTTTGTTCTCAAAGTAATAAGTGCCTCTGGAAGACAGAGCTTATCTTCGTGACCAGAGGAAAAAAATTGGTCCAAAAGGTGCATATCAACTTTCTTCCGTCGATAGATTATCTGTCAAAAGGATTCAAAGACTTGATAAAGAACGACAAAAAATATCTCATAAGCTAGTTAATGAAGATGAATCCCTCATAGCACAAGTAAACTTAATTGAAGAAACAAGTGGTTTGACCAATACGGAGGTAAATATTTTATAAATACATGAAATATTTGTAACAGATGAAACAGAAAGCGTTTTATTTTATTAACTCTTTTTAGGATGAAGGTGAATGGAAACCAGTAAATAATCCTATTGGAAAATACAACTTAGTTAAACTTCCAAGATTTGCAATGGAATTAGTCAGAAATGAGTGTTCGTCAAACGTAGGTGCAGCCCTTGCAAATGCTTTACTACATGACATAAAACATCTCTTGAAAAATGACGTTGATATTAAAGATATTTTAATTGACAAATGCAAGTTAGATAGGGCCAAGTCAAAAGTAAAAATCGTTAGTGAAGAGGTGAACTCAGAACAAAAAAAAACAGTTAATTTGTCTTGGGGTTGACAGCAAGCTCGATCAAATAACTAAAACAAGTATAGTAATAAACTTACCTCAAGGAGAAGTACTAAAAAATGCATTGAACTTGAACATCACCTCACATTTACTTATGTAGATGGAAAATCGAGTGGAAATTATTTGACTCATAGGACGATTCCTGTCACCGGTGCTACAGGTTTAGTTCTTGCTACCGAACGTTTAGTGTTTTACAAGAACATAACAGTTTGGAAAGTATACAAGCTGTTCTTCTTGATAATACTGCTACCAATACTGGACCAATAAGTGGCTTAGTGGTAAAACTAGAAGAGTTTTTAAAAAGAAAACTACATCTAATTGAATGCGCATTACATTAAAATGAACTTCCGTTACGAGCTCTTTTTGTAAAACTTGATGGTGACACAACTGGGCCAAGAAGCTTTAGTGGTCTACTTGGCAAAAGATGTGCTGAAAATATTCAGGATAAAAATCAAGTTTTGTTTAATCGTATTGAAAACCCAATTGTAGATGGATATATTCCAAAAGAAATACTAGTAGACCTTAGTTCAAAGATCAAAGACTTTTATTTGAATATTGCAAAGGAATAGGCTTTTGGTAAAGTTTCTGATAAATGGGCCGCCTATAAAATTGGACCGCTTAACCACGCAAGGTGGTTAACTATAGCTATTCGCCTTCTCTGTTTGTATACTAGAGACAATCAACCAACTGTTTCTTTAAAAAAACTCGTATGTTTTATAGTTCAGGTTTACGCTCCAGCGTGGTTCGATATAAAAAAATCATCAAAATTTCACGAATCCCCGCGCTTTATTTTTTCTACTATCACTAGAATAAATAATCTCCCCTTTGATGATGATTGTTAAAAAAAACATTAAAAACAATGCATTGTGCCTAAAACCTGAAAATATTCTTTATGCCATGTTAAAAGATAATGGCAGCAAGATACGAAACTTAGGTTTTCAAATCCTACTGGGTCTAAGGCAAAGGTATTTTTTTATAGTAAACTAAAATAAAGTTTTGAAAAAAAATGATACATTAAATGTGGTAATTGGATTTGATTTATATTTATAGAGTAAACATCGAAAGTTTGGAAGTAAATTTGAAAAAAATTCTAGAAATTAATTCTAATGCTAATCATTGGTATGAGTTGGTTGATATAAGCATTACTAAATTTACGGAGCCCCCAACAACACAACATTTTTCAATTGAGCAAATCCAATATGCGATTGACAATAATGTTAAACCTGAAATCCCCGACTTTCCATCTCACTCCCAGAGTGTTGAGCGAGCGGTAAAACTTGTGTCGGACGCATCCCAATATGTTTATGGATTCGAGAATCGACACAGCTGCATTTTAACTAAACTACTTAGCAGGAAGATGCGTAAACCGTATATTTCAAAAGGGCGTTATTCCCATTCTTATGATGATATTTTTTAATTGAAAATGTTTTCCTAAAATATATATATCCATAGCCAAATGTTTTTAAATTGTGAAAATAATGTTTATTTTGATATTCTTATGTAAATATAAGAATAAAAGATTCACTATTTAAATCTTCAAATAGTTAACAAGTTGTTATAAATTTAGCTTAATTGTTATAAACTGTTATAAACTTAAATCATACAGCAAAGCAAATAGTATTGAAAAACATTTCAATATGAACTTAGTTAAAACGTCAAGTTTTGCATATAACGCTTTTTAAGGTGTTTTTTTACATAATCCAACAAATCTTAAAAATTAAATCCGCAAGCGATTCTTTATCCAAAATCTCTCAAATTTTGAGAGTAATCGTATTTTAACTGTCTACAACTACTGCAATATTACGCAATATGCGGAATTAAAATCGACCTACCCTAGTATATATACAGTAGCTTTCATAAATTTAGACGCATTCATTTTATTTTCATATATGTAAGAAAATACTCAAAATAAAAATAAAATAAAAG